ATTAGCATAATCTCTGTGGAATTAAAAAAAAATCGTAGAGTTTCTCGGTTTTAAATCAATCTTATACATTCAATGGTATTTATAAACATATATTAATTGATATTTTAGAAATTACAACAACAACAAATAATATTGATTTTTCGGATAAATCACTTGTTGACACAAAACAAAATAATCAAATTTTAAGTTTACAAGAAGAAATTAAATATTTAGAACAACAATTAAAAGATAATCAATATTTAATTGATTCATTAAAAAATAATCTTCAATTAATTACACAAGAAAATTTACAACTTACAAAACAATATAATGAAATTCAACAAAAAAATGATTTACTTATTAAAGATAATCATAATTTAACTAATCAATTAGAAAATCGATCTATTCCTCTTGATTCTCAACAAGAAAATGGTACGTTTATTACTTTTTATAAAATATACAATTTCAACTAACAAAAAGAAAAAATTCATTTATAGTTTTACAATTATCAAGTGATCAAATTCAACATATTCATCATTCCCCAATTGAAGAAGTTTGATATTTATTCTATACGTTACATACATTATTAGTTTCTTTTTAGATTCCATTAAATATCATTCCACATGTTCAATCTTCAAATGTGATAGAAGAAAATGAAGAAATTCAACAATTAAAAAATAATCTTGCCACTCTTACAATACAATGTACTGAATTAGATGAAGCTAATCGTGCATGGCAACAATATTATCAAAATCAAATTGAATTATTTCATGATAAATTACAAGATTGGATTCCATTGGATATGAATTTAACTCTTGAACAAATAATACATCAAATTATTAGTTATCTTAATCAATTAGAATATGATAAAAATTTATCATTACAAAATAATAATCCATCAGGTAGAAAATTATTTAATGAAGCAAGTTTTTTCAGTTTAAATTGTGTCAACAAGTAGAATGTACATGAGTCGAGTCATTCGTTAACGACTTGACTAATTATAACTGAATGAGAAGTTCTAAACTCACTCCAAACAGTACAATTTCTTCTTCAGGATCTCTAGAAAATTGGTTTTTAAGAGGAAGTTTTTAGAGTCGTTTCTTACTGAATATTTCAACATAGACGCAGGTCATGCAACGACGTCTATCCTGAAGTTTGTAGGGTTTTTTCTCTTATGATTAGAGAGATATTCGCTAATTACTTTCTAATTAATTAATCAATTACTTATTAACTAATATCCAGTTAAAAATAAAAGGCGGGTGGTTGTTTTTCGAATGACTCTTTAACGGAAAGAGTTATCAGTCTGCAGTTTTCACCATTAGAAAGTAGCCGACATTCTACCTCTTTCTATATATTAATTAACAAAATTAGCTCATAAATCTGATGAGTAATTAGTGAAATTCAAAGAAGTAATTAAAGTACTTTGAAAAATATATAGAATTTTAAGGCCCCCCCCCCCCCTCAAAAATCGATCTCAGCCCAGGAACGTTCAAATGGGCTGAAATTTTGAGCATATGTCGGGGCTGAAGTGGGGAGGCTGTGGTAAAATTTTCAGCTCGATACACTTACAATTAACAGAGATATGAACCAAACAAGGGTCAAAACCAGCTCATTTTTCTGTCCAAGATTTCTCGATCCGGGCTTGGTAAATATATTTAAATTTTTTTTTGTTTGAAAGAGCATCTCAGGATGCAGGGCACCACAGAGTCCTTTTTTTTAAATTCATACTTTTTTAGCAGAAAAAGGGGATCACAAGTTCAATGGCTCAAAAAACGCGCCAAAAAAGGATATCTATGTCGGTAAACATAATAAAAAACAATGCTTAATCAAAAAAAGGACTTTGTGGTGCCCTGCATCTCGACGCGCTCTTTCAAACAAAAAAAAAATTTAAATATATTTGCCTAGCCCGGACCGAGAAATCTTGGACAAAAGGTCAAAAACTCATAAATCGAGAAAAAACGAAAAACATTTTTTGATTTTTCAAAGAACAGCTGGTTTTTCGAATAGGGGTTGACGGAAATCTTCAAAATTTTTTGGGAAAAATGAAGTAACGAGAAAAACAAATTATCGTTTATGAAAGAGCAGATGATGAGCTATCTCTCCATGTATTTATCTCAATTCCGGAATTTTTGACGAAAATTGACTTTTTTTGAGGGGGGGGGGGAGGGCTTAAGAAACGGAATAAACAAACAGTTATTCTTTAAAAGTTGGAAATGTAGATTCCCATATTTTTTGTATTCTCTACGAAAACTACATATTCTGAACATATTTAAAATATTCTTTATATTCCATGATATCATCAACATTCTTCTCACTCGCTTTGTCCAACTAAATATTCTTATGACATCATCGATATTCTGATCAAGGAATTAGTATAGCGTCCTTAAGTTTCAAAATCTCTGAAATTTGAAGCTAAGTGACTGAAGATGATGAAAAGTCCTGTGTTAACGCTCAAAAATGAAAACATGCCTGTAATAAGATGAGTGTCAAGATCCCTGGCTCAGCAAAAGCGATTTTTGTTACTTTTATTTCATGAAAAAACTAACTCAGTAGTCAATATATTTACTACAGTTCGATAGGTTTTCTCTCTCGAACCATTTAAGGTAAATAAATATATCATTC